TAGTAGTAGTAGTAAAAGATAGTAAAAGTGGTAGTAGTAGTAGTAGTAGTAGTAGTAGTGCTAATAGTAGTAGTAGTAGTAGTAGTAGTAGCAATAGTAGTAGTAGTAGTAGTAGTAGCAGCAGCAGCAAGAGTAGTTGGCAGTAGTCGTCGTAGCAGTAGTAAGCAAGGCTGCATGTGTTTCACTGACACATCCCCGCATGCAAACTCAATAACCCCTCCGCTACAAGAGCCCTGGAGCCCACCGCAGCCATGCAAGTGCAAATGCAACCACCTGTCAGGCCATAACCCTAAACCCTAAATCCTAAACCCTAAACCCTAAACCATAAACCCTAAACCCTAAACCCTAAATCCTAAACCCTAAACCCTGTGCTAACGCTCTCTTAGTCCGACTCCTTAGGGTCATCGATGGCCAGCTGGAGGTCGCGCAAAGAGTTGACCTGTCATTCGCATCACTAAATGCTTAGTGTCCCCGCACGAGACAGCCAGAATATCGGAGCAAGCAGACAAAGGCATGGGTATTTGAATGTCGTTTCTTCCGACGTCTGAGCTCCAGTTGTTCAGCACATATTTTCTTGGGACTCTCTCTCGCTCTCAGTTTGCGCGTCTCTGCGAGGTGTTCACGCATAATGCTTACATCTCATGCCCGTTGACCGAAGACAACTTGAAAGGCTAGACGACGTAAGGTTCAGATCTGTCTGAAGCCGTGGCTCAAGACTTGGCCGACGTAAAGGCGGTTAGAACCTTGAAGGGTTCTTGAAGTCGCAACACATGACCCAAAAACCTTCAGCCCGAAAAACTGAACTAAACCTAAGCTTTGCTTCCGCACCAGCTTTGCTGGCCTTGCGGAAGATCGGCCGCGCATGATCCCACAGAACCTCTCGCAGAAGCTACGGTGAGGCTTTAGTCGCTTTAGTCTTCCAAATGTTATAAGCTCTTTCCTTTCATCAGAGACCGGTTTAAAAGTGTCCTAACCATAGACAGCGTGTCGAAACGGGTGTTATAGAGCTCAGGGTCTCGGCAATGCATCCTAAGTCGTCAACGCCAACAGTTGCTTTGGATTTCGGAATAGGGCTCTGTTTGTTGGACGCCAAACCAAAAGGGTCCAAGTACTACCTATAGTCTGAATTGTAGTTCCTTTTTGGGGATACCTTATAAACTCCTTAATACATAATTGGTTAAACCACAAAAAGGAAGTACAGTGGAGACTATAGGTAGTATAGTATATACTTTGGGGGCCCAAATACCTACTAAGTACCTACTATAACGGTACTTGGACCCTTTGGCAAAGAGTCGGTGGTGGGAGGCCGTGCCTGCATCTCTTTGAGAACTGGCTCTACAAACCTGGGCTGGTGCAGAAAGCTCGGGATGAAACGGGGCTTGGCTGACGGGCGTGCGATTGTCAAGCATGTGAAGCATGCTCTGTTTCAAATTGCGTTCCGAATATCTCAGACAGAGATTGCCAATGTAAGGCTCTTGTGTGTAGCGGCTGTGTGTAAGCCTGTGAGCATCTGCAGCAGCAACTTCAAACTGCAGCGATCACCGCTAAGGTTAAGGAAGGCTTCAACCATTTCTGAACAGAAGCCCGCAAATGCCATGGTGCAGCTCACCTTTCGGTGCATACGACAGCAGCAGGCTTTTACCGAACACAGTTGGCCAACAAGGCTTCGAGTGTAGTTGGGGTTCAGGGTTCACAAGCATACCAAACCGCACCCGGACATCACCACATCAATCCCCCTGATTCCCCGCTCAGCACACCAACATTCAACATGCAACCTTCCTTCACAAAGCTTGAACCTTGAACCTCGAAAACTCCCTGGACGGAAAGAGTCCTACACCCTATCTTAACATCCAACGGCGAAACCTAGGTCTTTCATACTTTGTGAAGGGCAACAGACATAGGGGTTTTGATAGTATGGACCCTGTAGTACTTAGTACTTGTGTCTAACCCACCCCCCCGAAGTTGTTGAAACTCCCACCTCTGATTTTTTGAAACTCCTATCTCTGAATGAAGCCAAAGGCCAGGCAACATACGCAAACGCGCGAGCGCCAGCTTCAAGGCCTCAGCGAAACTACGGCGTGATACCGTGAGTTATGGGGGTTTGAAGAGTTACGAACACTTTAGGGTTTAGGGTTTAGGGTTTAGGGGGCCTCCACAATTATAATACAAGAAGAGTTACCTTGAGCCAAGCCAAACCCGAAACAAGCTGAAATCCCTTGCATCTACATACTGCCTATAGTCTCCATTGTAGTTCCTTTTTGGGGATGCCTTATAAACTCCTTAATATATAATTGGTTAAACCAAAAAAAGGAACTACAATGGAGTACATACTGGCCTGATAAGGCTCGGAGTTTGAAACAAATGAGACGATCGAAAACCATGGCCGCGAGTAGCAAAGGGAAGCTCACCCTAAACCCTAAACCTGATTACAAAGACACCTCCCTAAACCCTAAACCCCTAAGAGTTACTGCGATGGAGCCTCCACAGATTCTACTTGAAGAACACTCGGGAGGGTTCCAAGCGGTTACAAAAGCCGAACCCTACGAATCCTCATCTGGGACCCAAACTCTAAACCCCCCTGGACCCTTGATCCAACAGCCCGAAGCCAAAACTCAGAAATCCCGAAACACCAAAAACTGAAAACCCCCAAAACCGTGAACCCTGAGTCCTCTAAAACGCCCCAGGCCCAACAGACCGAGAAGGCCATCTGGGGGTTTCCGAAAATAGGGGACCCTAATATAGTACCCTAAATAATAGGATCCTCATTATAAGGACCCCAAAATAAGGTACCCCTTGTTTCCGGAAACTCAACCCTAAACCCTAAACCCTAAACCCTAAACCCTAAACCCCATCTCCAGCTGAGGGCCAGACCATTGGTCGGAACCTGCCTTCCAGCATCGCTACGAGATCCTTTCGGATGTATGTAGGCTTGGGGTCTTTGAAGTTCTTCCAGGGTGTATACAAGACTTCTGAAGCTCTTCAAGGGTTGGGATATTGAACGGCTTTTAAGCTTTTGGGGTTTTGAAGTTCTTGCAGGATGTTTTCAGCTTTTGAAAGTTTGAAGTTCTTCAAGGGTTCAAGCTGTTGGAAGCTTCACGGGCTTATATTGAAGTTCTTCACGGGTTGATTTCAGCTGTTAGAGGTTTGAAGTTCTTCAAGGGCTTACTTCAGCGTTTGGGATTTTGCCTGGACTGTTCATGGTTTGTTCGGGCGGTTGGGGGCTGACTTTGAGTTTCTGTGCTCACAGTCCAGGTGAGGTATGCACGAAAGCTTGGTCTTTGAGTGCATTGGGGCTCAGGATTTGGGATGCACCTGACGGAGACATGACGACGATATATACACAAGACTCTGCCGCTCAATAGGAACGCTTCCTCCACTTCTGCATGTTTCCCGAACTGAATTTGGCTGCAAGCCTTGAGCCTTATACACTCATAAGACTTGCCCAGTTGGGCGTTAATCTGAACTGGCCCGACTGTTGAAGTACTCACTCAGATAACCTGGGCAAAGCCGCGACTCAGTACTCCATTACGACTAAATCAAGCTTCACTCTGCCCTGTTGTTTCAGCCACGTCTCAGGGTGCCGGGAACACCCAAAGTCGATCAGCTTCGTATCGTCCCTGATTGGTGTGTCGGGCTTTGGCTTTCAGGACCCTAAAACCCTAAACCCTAAACCCTAAACCCGTAGGTACGGTCTTCACTCCGAGCTCCCAGGTGCTTTCATGTTATTGCGCATGCTGGGCCCCAGTGAGGACCTTGCTTATTTTCCCGAGGAGAGACAGAGGCTGACAGAGGCTTCCTATTGTCCAAAGCTGGAGAATGTGGCATGAACTCTCCGCCATAGAGTTTCCCCCTGACTGCATGCTGAAAGCAAGCTAGAAGCCGCCTGCAATGGTGAAAGACACGAGTATTGGAACCTTTGCACGATCAGGCCTCGTAGCCGGAAGTACATGTGTCAGAGCCTGCCGCACACGAACGTCCGAGGAAGCTAAGACTCTCTTCTGCTCGACGTTTTGCGCAACCCAAAGAGAGGGCTATAGAGACTTGTTGCGATTTCAGCATATGGATTCTACTGAAACATGTATATAAGATACCCATGGGGTTGTATAATAACCCCGTGTAAAGATCCTTATCCCTGAGCGTCGTTATCGTTCTGTCTTCTTCCTATCGTTTGTCCGTGAAAACTGTGTTATCGTTTTGTTATCGTTCTATTTTCTTCTAATCGTTTTACCATGGAAACCCATCCAAAACCCTACGAGGACATGCCAAGACTAAACCTAAAGGCGCGAGGTTATCATACAATCCCACATATTGATGACCAGTGTGTGCATATTTTTATGCGCACACACACACACGTCCCTCTGAACACATACGTTTTTTTTGACAATGGAGGTGGGTTGGGGGGATACCATGGGGACAGTATGCAAGTCAAGTTCTCCAACCTGTACTTCGGGAACCAGAACCCACACATAAATCTAGGATTTGGGGGGGGGGGGGGGGNNGGCCGAGGCTCAGAAAGGTTCTGGGTGTTTTAGGGAGCCCTTTTTGCATCAGGGCTTGGGCAATCGCCTGAATGTCTGAGCCCTAAATTCACGAATGCTTGGGGTTCGTCAACAACTTCTACGCAAGGAGCACTTATCTCGATGGCTCGATGGAAATAGCTATAGCAGTAAGAACAGTAATAAAAACACGAATACTGACAAGACACATCATAGGAAGATTAAGAATACATAGAAGCACTATGCAGCTATGGTCAAACGAGAAAGAGCAGTAACAAAAAGCAACAACCAAAACTGATCCCGCCTCGGGGTTCTGCCCAAGGGCAGCGAGAACGACTTCGCACTTGCCACGGAGCCTGCATTGTCATTTGTAATTTTATAGGTCACGGGGTGGGATGGTTTCGACTCACACACTCGCAAAGCAGGCATGGCGATAAGTGTCCGGGCTTGGGATGGTTTAGGATTAAGCTCAGAAAAAAAACTTAGGCGTTCAGCAGTTCGGACTTATGGCCCTATGGCTTTAGGATGGTTTTCGAGTAGAAGCCGAGAGGTTGGAAACCCAATAGCCTCCATCCTGAAGAGTAACATATTAATTTGTCCTTGATCATGTTTTCAACTTATTGGGGTTATGTCAAATAAAATGCGCTGGAATTTGCAATGAATGTTGCTCCACGAGAAGATTTCCAGCGGATTCTGCCCTAACCCCTAAACTCTAAACCCTAAACCCTAACCGTGTGCAAATGTTAGGGACGTGAGCGCAAACTATGCATGTGCCACAGCGCGAGCCGAGCCGCGCCATATGCGGCTACTCTAACCTATCTTCTTCCCTTACCCTCAAGGGACTCATATTCTAAGGCTTTTGGGCCCAAAGACTCCATTATAAAAGGCTTTTGGGCTATTTTGATGCTAAGGGCTTGACTCTGCATCATCAAACGCCACAGTGTGCACCACAGTGTCTGGGGATGACTAGGGCTGGTGGAGTGTCACCCAATCTAACATGCGATCGACAGGCACTGCCCACCTGGCGCTGGCATATTCAAGTGCCAAGCCATCCTGTGCCACAGCTGCCTGGACAATGTACTCCTTAGATCTCGCAGAAAAGCCGCTGCCGTTGCCAACGACATGTACCCACTGACCTTGACTTCCCCCACCTGCCTCTCGGCTGCAGTATCCAAACACTACACTCTGCCAGTCGTGGTCGTCTAGGGATGGTTCTGACAAACAGCATCTGCGATAGAACTGGTGTGCTAGGCAGTGCCGATTCCGCGGAAGTACGCTGCGCTCAATGACAGCCCTATCACCTTTCACAGACATGTATTCATTCATGTTCGTGTCGCCAACCGTAAACCTGTACATGCTATGTTCGTTTGCAACTTAAGACTTCAAAAGCCCTACCAGAACTCTTGTAAAAACAAGGAAAGCTGAGGTGCCCTGCATCTGACAAACGCGAACAGGTACTGGACATCCCGAATGAGAGGCATTTATTTGGAATTGTGACAAGCTTGAAGGATTGACGGTTCAATCAAGGATCATGCAAAGAAGCCCCGTGTACCATCAGGCAATGTATGATCATGTACTGCAATAGTTTAGAACGCTCATAACATTGCACCACCTTGACACTGAGACAACTCTAACTTCAAACCACGACTCATCGTCCCGGAGCTCGACAGGGACAAACACCAGCACCTTGCCATCACCTTCCACGGCTTTGTGCACGATCTCCTCCAGGCGTTTGAAAGTTGAAGATTTCAGCGAGCTAGCCAAAACTAATGCAAGCTACCATGCTTCGGCGGTGCTCAACTGCTGCACAACAGGGGATTGGCCGAATTATAGAGCTCTCAGTGCCTTTATAGGGTGAGCCTTGCATTCATGTGTCTTTGAACGAAGACCGGCCTTGTCTTGAAGCTGCTCGGCTAGCGCATGCGGTAGAGCATGTGGCGCGGAGCCTCATGGGAAGGACCCTAGTCCGAGGTCTTCAAGTTAGGGTTTCTAGATGGATTCTACAAGGGTAGAGCTTTCTTTCTGTAGGCGCGCCCCATATGGGTTCTACAAGGGTTCCTATTTTGATACCGTATCCACCCTGTCTACCGTTCTACGGGTCTGTAAGAAAGTAGGATGAGATTCGCAGAAACGGCAGTGGCAAGCTTGCCAATGTATTGATCGCAGGACGAGCCCGAAAACATCCCTAATGCTACAGCAGCCTACATAACGCGATTTTTCAGGTTTGTGACCTCAACAAATACAGTGAACGAAGCCCCTTGGAACAATAAGGCATTCAATACGGATCATACACGCTCCTACGTCGCCTATGTCCTGTGTAACCGCAACACCTCAACCTGAGATCATGAAGCAATAGCTCACGAGATTCTGTTCCGAAGCTCAAGTTTTGGGCTTCGGGTCGGGGATGCTCATGCTCGATGCAGATGCTAAGCGCGATGGATCCTGAGACTGGCATGCAATCGAAGACTTACCAGCTGCCAGCACTTTTTCGTATCAGCAAAACGGAGCAGCTTCTACATTCCGTGAGCCAGTTAAGCCAGTGGAACAGTGACGGAGCCTATGTTCCCCTGAGGTCGGGTGACATAGCATGCATCCCGTTGCTTCCTTGATTGTGGCATCCACAAGAGCGTTGAGAGTTAAGGGCACCATGGCATGTGCTACGCGAGCTGCTCCTAGCTGAGTCTCCGAACTAATGTCCTTGCTGTGAAGCATGGTGCTGTGTGGACGCAGGTATCGCTGGATGAACGCTACCTGCGTTGCTTGAGAGCCTCGGAGGCTCAAGGGCAGGTATAAACGACGGTAAGTAGTCTGACAGAAGATACTGGTAACCCTACCTGTAGTCTCCATTGTAGTTCCTTTTTTTGGTTTAACCAAATACATTTTAAGGAGTTTATAAGGCATCCCCAAAAAGGAACTACAATGGAGACTATAGGTAAACCCTAAACCCCACGCATACCTACCCTTGAACCGTTTTGCAGCATCGGGCCGCCAGAGCAGCTGCTTCTCAGAAGGCTGCTTTTGCATTGCTCTCGACATCTCGGCAGGACCGAAGCAACAGCAGAGCAACCGAGCTTCTAAAGAGCATGCCATTTGTAGCATGATAGTGGTGATGACGCTGGTTAGTGGCAGGAAAATCTCCTTGCTAGTCATTTCACTACTAAGCCAAGGGCGAGATTCGCCACAGTAGCTCTTTAGCAATGCACGTGGCCTGGTGCGGCATCCCGATGGGATTTCACAATCGAAGCTCCTAGGCCCGGCTATGATGTACAGGTACAGGGCAATGCATGAGTACATTTCTACTGATAGATCGTTCAACATGAGGCTATGTGTATATGTTGGCAATCTATAGCTACCTGTACCTATCTGTTCTAGTCTACTGGTTAGTTAGCACGGTTCCGAGACATCGGACCCACGAAACCTTGTTGCCGTTGTGTGGGAGCCTCGCAAACTTTTGTGAGAATCTGAGCCGGCGCCATGCTTGGTCAAGAGATGTCAACTCCGCGCAGCTTGCAGGGTTTAGGGTAACTACACCTTGGAAGTCCAACCATGCATGTACCTATAGTCTCCATTGTAGTTCCTTTTTGGGGATGCCTTATAATCTCCTTAATATATAATTGGTTAAACCAAAAAAGGAACTACAATGGAGACTACAGGTAAGACGAACAAGATATTCTTCCCAAGGCCAAGGACAACTGATCTTGAAACAATCGAGGCCCCTGGCCGCCGACAGAAGCATCCCTGCCTATGACGTTTTGGATAATCGGCTGCTGGCCTATGCACCCACCATGTATGTTTGCAACCCACTTCATTATAGCGCCCCAGCACGCGCAACTGAAAGTTGTATGCAAGCCGCGACGGATTTGCACTTCAGGGCGCTGAACCATGCAGAAGCACGTGTTCCGTCAAGGGTCACTTTTAGTTCTTCAGCTGTTCCAATAAGCATGTGCACATACGGGAACCTTCAGATCAGCTGCATCGCGCATAAACTGAGGCACTCGGCAACAGTAGAAACTTGAAGCAAGCACATGTTGCGTACGGCATAATGTCGCTCAAGGTCACGTAACTGATCAGCGGGGCTGAAGCGGCAAGACTGAGAGCTCAGTTATAGCTTGAAGGGTAAGTTGACCTGGGGCATCACACAGCCTAATATAGCTAAAATTGTAATAAGGAATCTGCAAAATCCTATTCTACTTATTCAGGCCCCTGCATTAGGCTCCGCCCTTGTATGGGCCCGCGACGACGATGCAACCGAGAGCCCTTTGTTTTGCACCAGAAGCCAAGAGGATCATGGCTTCGCTCGGTAGGGTTTAGGGTTTAGGGTTTAGGGTTTCAAGTATAGGGTTTAGGGTAGTTTGGAGTAAGAACCTGCTGTATATACTACCATGGCAGTTCCTAATCCTAATACCTTCAGACATTCATCCACCGAAGGTGGATACCAATTAAGCCTTGGGATTCAACTCGAGATCTTCTTGCATACCATGTCCTGGCTTGCGCAAACCTCCCAAAGGTCTCTGGGGCGGCTCCGATAACGGAGTCCCGGCGCTGCTCCTGCTACTGTGTATATAGATGCAAAGACAAGAATAAATACTGATAATTAAAAAAATAGTATATCTATCTATATATATATATATATACATACACATACATATACCATATACACATAAATAGAGAGAGACACATTCATGTACGTATCCATGTCTTCTTACGGTAACCCCATGTAAACACTTAGGCGCAGCAAGCACAGGAACAGTCAGGGTCGCATCGTACCAGGCGGATTCAAGTTCACATCTGGCTGCAGTACACGAGTAGTTCTCTAAATTGGGGTCCCTTTTAGGGTTCCTTTTATAAGGGTGCCGTACTATATGGAGGACCTAAAAAGGGACCCTAATTTAGAGAACTACCCACACCCAGATACGCAGATCAAAAGGCGATCCAGGGGTCATCGCCGGTGAAAGTCCCCCAAGCTTACGCTGAAATGCTGATGCTCGGAATCGCTTACAGAGGAACGAAATCAAAATGCCAGCGCTAGCCATGACTAAGCACTAGCATTTACACCAGTATTGTTGAAGCAGGAATGTAGGACTGCCAAGACTTGCGACAACAGCAGTGATCAGAGTCGTTAGAGGATAGACTGGCAATGCGAACTTCCATGGGTGCAAAAATCAAGAGCTCAACCCGACCTCTGTAACAGCTGAAATACCCCAAATCATGCACACCTTTTCTTCTGTGAACCCTCAAGTTTCGGCGCTTCAACTCAAGAACGAAATCCTGCACGCTGAACCGTAAGTTCTAAATGCTCAATGCCTAAGTATGAATCCTTAAACTCTTAAACCCTGTGAACCTTGAATGTAGAAGTTGTCTTCTGAACACCTCAAGGACCCCGCATTAGATTGCTGTGCCCCGTCATAGATCTTAACAGTGGTTTAGAGGTGTCTAGGCAGAACCTTACACCCAAAGCTGCAAACCTTAAGTTGTTAAAGTCACGCAGAAGCCGTATAGGAGCCCACACAGGACGCCGGCACATGACTCTACAGGGTCCGGATGGTCAACAACGAAGTTGAACCCTCACTAAGAAGGTGGCGATGCCCGAAACAGAAAAAGTAGCAAAAAGCGCAGCAGCAGACACGGGTGCCAAGCATCATCGGAAACACCCTGTCATCTGATTATGATTTTGCTACTACCATGTGGGACTCCGGCAGGACTTCGACATCTGTCGCCATGTCAAGTTAACTGGGCATGTTCGCTACGGATGAATATTATGGAGTCATGCCGGGGTTTCGGGTTCAGGGGGCTGAGGCTAGAGGTGTATTCAGGATAGGTTAGAAGTAAGAATGCACCTCAGATTGGGCATCTTGGAATCTGGGGCCATCTGGCGTCTCCGGAACTGGGCACCCTTTCGAGTTCTACTCGAAGCCCTATCTACGGCTGCCTCTGAAGCTGCAATTGACTGGACCCCACACAGCCTTCCGAACTTACTTGTTTGGTACATTACACCCAACAAAGCACAGCGGCTAAACCCCCAAAGGAACCCTTGTAAACCCCTTCTGCGACCCCTCATGCATCCAATATGGAGGCCTCAAAGGATCCCTTACTTAAAGGATCGAGGGACTTAGTAAGTAGGGTTATAACTAAGGTAACTATAATTATAACCCCAATTAGGGGACTTATAACCAGACTTACTAAGTCCCATGATCCTCCAAGTAACCTAAACCCTAAACCCTCAACCCTCAACCCTAAATCCCTACACCCTAAACCCCACATGCATCCAATATGGAGGCCTCAAAGGATCCCTTGTAGTTATTTAGGTCTGTGCTGCGGGGTCCAGGCTCTAAGAACTAAGGGAGTGCTGGGCCGCTTCCCGAGGCCATGGGTTCAGGGCCGCAGCAGAAGTGAAGCAACATTCGGTATCCAGATTTTATGGGATAAGGAATCTAGGGTTCAGGGTTGGGTCATCGGGAAGTTGAAATATTTTGAAATGAGGTATACAGACTCTGCGACACCCTAAAAAAGATGCTGCCGGTCCCTGGGCCCTTGACCTCGCAGCCGCGACACAGCCTCTCTTGGCGGAGACATGGCTCCCAGTTCTAACTTTATAATTTATAAGTCTATAAACTTTCTGGAGATCTTCCTTCGCCCCTCCAAGTTGCACCTCGCGGTGAAAAATAGGGGTTTCCGAAAATAGGGGACCCCAATATAGTACCCTAAATAGTAGGATCCTAATTATAAGCACCCCAGAATGAGGTACCCCTTGTTTTCGGAAACTCCCAAATGGTCAGACCTTCTTGGCCCGAAGCCAGGGACCCAGAGACTCCAATATCCCTTAATTAAGGACTACTCCTTAAATCATAGTAGGATCCTTAATATGATTTAAGGTATATTCCTTAATTAAGGGATATACCTTAAATCATAGTAGGATCCTTAATATGATATAAGGTATACTCCCTAA